AGGTACAGTACAGCATATGGGGTTGGCTAGTCTTGGTAGGAAGTCTCTGTGGGTGATCAGTCTCAGGCAGTAAGCACTGGAGAAGGAAATTGCAGTTGCTTGTCTTTGCACACGCTGACCAATCACTTAGACTCCCCAGGAAAGCTTTGCCACCCCCCTTCAGCCTGGCCCATAGAGGCTGTTACCAACAGGACAATATGTCAACAGTCCCCTAGGTCGAAGGCCTTGGAGTCCTCAGTATGTGCCCAGGTGAACAATGCACATTCCTCCAGGTCTTCCTTTGCTCCCTACAAATTATAATTTTTAAAGATTATATAAGGTAATTTTATGAATCTATATATATATATATTTTCAAGCTACTAAAATCAAATTTGCACTTGACTTTCCTGTTATCTGAGAACTAGCAAAAAAAAAAAAAAAAAAAAGGGTGGGGGAAGCTTTTGGCTTTTGAGATAGGGTCTCATGTAGCCCAGACTGGCCACAAACTTGGTATATAGTTAAGGATGGCCTTGAATTCCTGATCTCCACCTCCCATATTCTGGGATTATAGGTAGAATTTTTGGTTTTTCAAGACAGGATTTCTCTGTGTAGCCCTGGCTATCCTGGAACTTGCTCTGTAGACCAGGCTGGCCTTGAACTAAGAGATTCACCTGTCTCTGTCTCCTGAGTGCTGGGATTAAAGGACTGAGCCACCACCTCCCAGCATTTTTGTTTTGTTTTGTTTTTCGAGACAGGGTTTCTCTGTCTAGTTTTGGTGTCTGTCCTTGAACTTGCTCTGTAGACCAGGCTGGCCTCAAACTCACAGAGATCTGCCTGTCTCTGCCTCCTGAGTGCTGGGATTAAAGGCGTGTGCCATCGCTGCCTGGCGCATTTTTTTTTTTTAATCAGAAGGTCTCATATAAAGGAATGGGTGCCTATCTAGATAACAAATAGGAAAATAAGACACATTTTAGGTTGCAAAGGAAATCTTGAAAGTTCCTTCATGATAAGAACTATAGTAAGGGACTGATGGCTCTGGTTAAAAGCACTCCTTAACCTCTTAAGAGAACCTGGGTTTGATTCTCAACAACTACATGGTGGCTCAGTTATGTAACTCCAGATTTAGGGGATCTGATGTCCTCTTCTGGCCTCTGAGAGCACCAGGCACACACATAGTGCACAGACATACACGCAGGCAAAACACCATATATATAAAATAAAATAATAATTAAAAAATTTAAGAAAGAAAAATAGTAGGAGACTATGCTCTTTGATTAAAACAAACTAACATTCATATTTAAAAATGTTAAGTCAAGATTAAAAACTCCATGAGGGTGAATCTGGAGCTCACATGACAGGACTTGTTGACTAAATGCTCTGCCTCGATCCCTCCTATTAGGTCAGTCTACAGCACACATGGACGGAGGTGAATCTCTGGATGGACTCCATTTCTTATGTCACAGCTATCTGACAACATGGCCTAAGCAAGCCTATCTTTCTGTTAAACGGAAGGCTACCATTTCACCACAGAAATACACTCAAGCAAGAATATTCACCGTGGCCTAAAGCAAGGTGAAAGGAACACCTGGCTTGAGTGATTTGGAAGATTAGAGATGACACATGGGAGTGGGATACACGTCCCCTATGTTTGTGATCCTAGCACTTGGGAGGCTGAGGTAGAAGGAGCAAGTGAGTTCCAGGCTGGACCACTGTGACGTTCTCCTGCTTGTCAACTTGACAAGCCCACGATGAACTAAAACACAAGCTGCTGGGCATGACTATGGGAGAGTTGCTTGACTGGATTATTTGAGATGGGAAGACTCCCACTAAATCTGGGCCACACCTTCTAGTGGCAGCCCACATTAAAGGACCAGGGAGAAGGAAGCTTTTGCTTTTTGCCTGATTTGCCCTCACTCTCTCTGGCAAATTCATCTCTGAAGCAATGCTGCGCCTGTATTAGAAGTAACTTTGAGATCCCAACGTATACTGAAGATCAGCAGCTCTGCAGAAATCCTCAGGATTCTAATGTCTGTGGTGGTATTGTGTTCCCCAAAATATTGTGTACCTTAATAAACTTATCTGGGGTCAGAGAACAGAAAAGCCACAAGATACTTAGGCTAGAAAATGTTAGCACACACCTTTAATCCTAGCATTCCAGAGACAGAAATCCCTCTGGATCTCTGTGAGTTCAAGGCCGCATTGGAAACAGCCAGGCATGGTGACTCACGCCTTTAATCCCAGAAAGCAGCCTTTAATTCCAGGGAGTGGTGGTAGAAAGCAGAAAGGTTTATAAGGCGTGAGGACCAGAAACTAGAAGTATTTTGGCTGGTTAAGCATTTGGCCTGGTTAAGCATTTTGGCTGGTTAAGCATTCAGGCTTCTAGCAGCAGTTCAACTGAGAGTCATTGGAATGAGGACACAGAAGCTTCCAGTCTGAGGAAACAGGACCAGCTGAGGAATTGGCAAGGTGCGATAGCTGTGGCTTGTTCTGGTACTCTGACCTTCCAGCATTTACCCCAATAACTGGCCTCAGGTTGGATTTTATTAATAAGAACTGTTAAGATTCATGCTACAAATGTCAGATTGGGACTGTGAGATATCCAGCCCTGTAGACCGAACAACTACTGAATTCTCATCTTTCAGACCTGAGACAGCCATTGTTGACGACTCGACCACAGCCTGTAAGTCACTCTAATAAAGCCCCTCCATATATATATATATACACACACACACACACACACACACACACACACACACACACACACATATACACATACACACATATACTTTTTGTGTATAGATGTGTGTATACATATTTTAAAGATTTATTTATCTGTATTATTTTATCTTATTATTATTATTTTTTTAGCTTTCCTTTGGGGAAGGTATTACAAGAGGGAGAAGTGAATATGGGGGGTGGGGTACTGGGAGATGAGTAGGTTGGGGTGAATGATGTAAAATTCCCAAAGAATCAATTAAAAAAAAAAAAGTAAAATCTGAAACTTTCATTTAGAGGAAAATTTCAGACACACTAGTTGTGAGCTTCATAAATCTTCAGTATGTCACTTGTAAACTAGCAGCAAAAATGCTAAGACAACTACTATAATAATCTTCTAAAAAGATAAAATACTGAAGATTGCTCCTCATCCTCCATAATCCACCCCCATCCCGGTCAAAACAAAAACAAAAAGAAAAGAACAACAATAACAAAAAACAACAGAAAAATGGTGCTCTTGGAAAAATAAAAGCACATAAAAAAATGAAGTTTGGGTGAGAAATCCAAGGAAGTCTCAGAAATCAAAGAAACATGAGAGCTAGGAAATACCAAATCAGAGAAGGAAAGTAACATAGAAGTCTAAAGTCTGATGGAAATCAATAACAAGATGTGAAGGGAGCAAATCATCAAAGAATTTATATGTCTCCCTAAGTTGAGCAGAAACAAGACTAAAAATAAAAAGACAAATTTAAACACATGGTTATAGAATTTCAGAGAAATAAAACTGAAACCTTTAGAAAAAAATGCAAGTCACCTACAGATAACAGACAAGTAGCAATAGCCTTCTAGTCACCAGCAAAGCCAGTCAGCAAGGGACACAAGTGCCCGGAGCTCAGACCAAAGGGACAGCCTAGGACCTTAAACCTGACACAGTGACCAGTCAACGTTGGACACACGAGGGCCCACCTGTGGTCCCACCACTCAGGAAACCGAGGGAGCTCAGAGGCCAACCGAGGCAACACTCTTGAGAACCCTGCCTCAAACAGTGAGAAAGAATGAGGATATCTCAGGGAGACCCACACAGACAGATATTAAGATATAATCAAGAGAAAAATGAAGCTACTGCTTGTTAAACAAAAGGGTTCAAACTGGGAAAGAAGTCCAAGCAAACCCCAAGATGGCCTTCAGCCCCAGGTCACAACAGTAACCTTTCCAGAAACAGAAGCAAAGACAGAGGGATTCAGTGAAGGAGGGTGAGGAAAGCTGAACCACAAAGGAATAAAGATGCCAGGTCAGAGCCAGGCAGGGCGGCTCTGCAATCCCTGCTGAGGGAGGATGCTGTGAGTTCACTAGACCTGTCTAAAGAAAGGAAGGAAAGGAGAATGGAAGAGAGGGAGGAAGAAAGGAAGGACAAACAGACAGAAAGAAAGGTAAGCAGGCAACCGGAAAACACAAAAACAAAAAAAACGTCATGGGCCAAACTGAAGCCTCCAGCACAAATTTAAAAGTTGACTCCTAGCGCTAACCACACTGAAAGACTTTCAATAAGAGGCTACTTGTTCTTTCTCACAGTAAGAAATGAGAAACGATCGGAAAATCAAGCCTGGGATGCGTCCAGGCTTCCTTTACCTTTTAGAAACCATGTGTGTACTTCAGGTTTTAAAGATTCTGGTAAGGTGCTATGTTTGTTTAAAAGTTCAAAATAAGAATTCTATAAAAGTCAGATCTGTATTCAATACAAGAAAGAATTTTTAACTCCTTACAGATATTTAAACAAAATCAAGTCAATAAAAAGTAGATTCTGAGCAGGAACTAAATGATCTCCTATCAGAGACACTATCAGAGAGAACCCCATGCTGGGTGTAAGAACAGGAAACAATTCAATCCCTGCTCATGTAACAAATGTTCTGGGATTTACCTATCCTAAAATGCTTTACTTCTTTCTAGGAAACAGAGTATATATGGAGACAATGGCCTCTTTAGAGCCATTACTCAGGATAGAAAGTTTAATACTAATGCCAAAACTAAGGCAGAAAAAAAGGAGAAAAGAGAAAAATTTAAAAAAAGCACAGATTGGAATTTCTACAACAAAAGAACATAACAGTGGCAGCACACTGGCCTTAACCACATGAGCAATAAGAAAACTACCCTACGAGAACTTTCACAATGGTCAACATTAACCTTAACATATAAGATAATTGGCATGGAAAGCACACACAGGTCCTAACCAACCTGTATTCACTTTTCTGATGCCAATACAAATGACGAAAACAGCACACTCACAGAGTGTTACTGACTCCCCTTACCAGTTGTAACCCACAGCAAAGGATGCTTCGATCACAGGAGCGATGAGTTTTGCAGCTGTCATGATGTATTTTTCTGCCATGGCTTTCCTATACACACAAACAAAAAGTTATATTTAGATGTGACATGAAAGTAATTTATATTTAGTTCTCAAGATACAAGTATAAAGATTATCTATCAAAACTAACATACCACAGAAGCTTACTAGAGGACAGACAGCCACATAAGAAATGTGTTTCTAAAGCCTAGGAGTGAGCAGGCAAGCCTCCTGCCACCTACGAGGCAAATAAAGGCAGGTGGATCTCTGAGTTCAAGACTAGGCCTGGTCTACATAGCACGTTCCAGGACAGTCTGAACTATATTGAGAGACCACACCTCTAAAAACAAAAACAATAACAAAAAGCACCCCAAAACAAAAACTAAAATGAAACAAATTACTCATGTAATTTTTCCATCTGGAAAATGCCTTAACAAAAAAAGGCTAGGAGTGGCTGTATATCTAATTCTAGCACAAGGGAGGTAGAGGCAGGAGGATCATGAGTTTGAGGCCAGCCAGTCACAAGCTACTCTGGATTACACATTAATACCCTGTCCCCCAAAACAAGGGTTTGAGATCAGCTCAAGTGTTACAGCGCTGGCCCAGCATGACTAAGTCTGGTTCAGTCCCAGCACTGCCACTCCCAGTACAGAGAAACATGTTTGTAAGTCTGACTAAAAACGACTAGCAAACATGACTAGCAATGTGAGTGCCTCCTGATACCAGTGGGTCTTTCTTTTCCTGCCTGATGATGCCTTCTGACAAGGTAAAGAAATAATGAAACACAGACAAAGCTCTGCAGCTAAATTACATAACCTCCCTACAGACAGGAAAGTGAGGCCTAAACAGTCATTAAAGAAATGGCGTGTGGGATTGGGAAGACGCCTTATGGGTTCCCTAGCACTCATGTAAGAAGCCAGGTGCATGTGCCTGTAATCTCAGCACTGGGATGCAGAGAGATGAGGACCCTGGGGTTCACTGAACAGTCACTCCAGCCACTGGTTGAGCTCCAGGTTCCGTGAGCAAAGGTGGAGAGTGATAGAGAAGGAAATGCAACATTGACCTCTGGCCTCTACACTTGTACATCCAGGCACACACATGCACACGCAGACACATAAACCACACATGCATACAACCCACGAAAAGCAACTGTGTGTTATTAAAACAGAGTCATAACATATTGCCTGTGTTGGTTTTTGAGACAGGGTTTCACTCTGCAGTCCTAGCTGGCCTGGAACTTGCTCTGTACACCAGGCTGATCTCAGTCTCACAGAGATCCACGTGCAGATGTGGACTGGGTCACCATGCCCAGGTGTATGTTACTTTTGAAAGTATGTAAGTATGTGTATATATGCACCATATTTATGTACTACAAAACGCCCACTGTCACCATCTGGAAAATGCCGTTGTATTCCAAAGTGGATACACCAATTTACAGTGATAGATTACATTTATCTTTGTTTATCTTCCTTGGATTTATAAACATAGCAGTTTTAAAAATGGACTCAAGGGGCGAGAGAAGTGGCTGAGTGGTTAAAGAACACTAGTTGCCTTCCAGAGGACTTGGGTTCAATTCCCAGCACCTACATGGTGGCTCATTACTGCCTGTAACTCCAGTTCCAGGGGATCCGATGCTCTTTTCTGACATCCATTGGCACGGGGCATGCATGTGGTATACACATATGCATGTAGGTAAACACTGATCCACATAAAATAAAAATAAATCTTAAAAAGAAAACCAGCATATAATTCCATTTATATAAGGCAAATTACAGAGTCTAAGGAGAGTTGGTAAAAACCTGTCTCATAGGAAGTCAGAACAGAAGGCCTCTGCTTATGGCTCTGGATTGTACTGGGGGATGAAGAGGCTGTGGGACTGAGCCCTTAACCTGTGGGGTCTGCATCAAAAGTGAACTGCTGGACACCTACTTGATGTCCAGAGAGCTGAACAATCATGGTGTGGAAAAGTCCCATATATTTGGTGTTAGAAGTAGAAATGGTACACACACACACACACACACACACACACACACACACACACACACACATTACATGATAGTGGGGGGGGTTAATATAATCAAAATTCATTAAACACATTGAAAAATAAAAATAAAGGAGAGAAAACAACTGTGGTCCATATTAGAGAGAGGAAATAATAAAATAAATATGTATTTTTCTTCAGGCTTGATATTTAATTGGCAGTTAAGACAAACATACATAAGACAATTAAAAAAAATAAAGGTAACTAAATTGCAATATAGTACCAAATGTGGGAAAAGGGAATTACAGAGAAATGGTTAAGAATTGCTGAATAAGACCAGGCCTGGTAAAGTAGGCTTCTAATCCCAGTTTGAGACAAGAGGATCACAAATTCAAAGCCAGCCTGGGTGACTGAGTAAACTCAGGGTAGGCCAGGTAACTTAGTGAGCCTGCCTCAAAATAAAAAGCAAGGAAAGGGCTAGAGACACAGGCAGTGGTGGAGCAGGGGCCTGGCCATAGCCCCAGCCCCAGTTAGACACACACCCTAATAGAGAAGACTAGGTCAGCAGGGGGACCGGGAATGAGGAGGAGAAAGCATCCTTAAGGAGAGGATGCTGTGACCGCTCAGCTTGGGAAACAGGCACAACTGACAAGTTCTGTAAGGATCAACGAGAAGGCAGTCGTTTTGTTACCTTTCACGTTCCATCTGCCTGAGATGGTCATTTTTTATAGCCTCAATCAGTAAGTTAGTATGGGGATCATCCTAGGAAAAGAAATTGAAAAGAAGTCAGAAATAAAAATTAAAAACTTAAGATTTCTAACCCAAACTCCAGCAACTAGTTTTATAAAATGGTGCGTAAATTAATCTAATCTACTTACATTGAGCAGAACTTGGTTTTGTTTTGTTTTTATGATTGCCTATCACTCTCCATGGAACTAATATATATTCTAAGCAGCAGATAAAGGGTTAAGACAGAAAGAATAAAACCGAATACACAAAAGCTATGGTTGCTTGTAGAAATATGTGATACTCTAGACTGTAAACTCAAATCCAAATGTGTTCATGGTTATCCACTGCCTATTGCAATCCACGTAACTCCTGTTGAGAACGCAGACAAGGCTGGGCTGAGACAGTGACACGGTACCAACCTGAGCATGGAAGGCTTGGCTTTAATTGCCAGCACCACCGAAACAAACACCGATTTATTTTAAAACAACACACACCATTTTTCTCAGTAAGTAATGTATAATAATCCATATTTATCCAGCACTGTGTTCCAAGTCTACTTTCAACAGTTTACATACATTGATCATTTAACCCTCACAATCTTGTAAGGCAGGTTATTGTAACTGTCCCATTTTATATATAAAGGAACTGAGCTGCGAGAGGAGTAAGTCATGAGTGGCAGGCCAGGCATCAGGCTCCATAGCCCAAACTCTCTCTTTACTAGGATCAATAATACCCTTACATTCTATCAAGAAAAATCTACTGCCAGGAAAGAGGGAGGGAAAGACAGACAGACAGACCAAAAGACAGAGAGAGACAGAGGCAGACAGGTATGCACACACACACATACACACAGAGATAGAGATGAGAGAGAGGGGGAGGGGGAGGGGGAGGGGAGAGAAAGAGAGAGAATGAATATGAAAATTCTGTTGAATATGGTGAGCTATGCTTGCAATCCCAGCACTGGAGAGGTTGAGGCAGGAGGATTCAGAGTTTTGAGGCTAGCCTGGGTTACTGGATGAGTTCCAGGCCAGCCAGATTTAAGAGATCCTCTAAAAACAAACAATGAAGTTCAACTCTATTAAGCTAAAAAAAATACCACTTTGATCTATGAAAATAGATCTACCTATCTAAATATAGGCAATTTCATATAGTTTGACTTAATGTATCAGAATGCTAATAATTTATGCATAAAAATATGGGAAATGTTTTCAAAACATTAAGAAAGAAGAATAAGAGGAGCAAGAGGAGGAAAAAACAACATTAACTGCCCAGAAACTGCTGTTTCTATTTTGATATATTTTCTCCCAGTTTTTCATGTGTAAAATATGAACCTATACCTCTTTACTTAACATTATATAATATCTCCTCAGGTCTTTAAAAATAAGACTTTTCAGAGGATGTAGAGGATGTAGCTCAGTTGGTGGAATGTTTGTCTGTGATCCATGAAGGCCTGAGTTCAATCCCAGGGCTGTAAGACTGGGTACAGTGGCACATGCCTGGAATCCCAGCATTCAGGAGGTAAAGGCAGGAGCTCCAGAAGTTCAAAATCATCCTTAGCTACATAGCAAATTTGAGGCCAGCCTGGGCTAGTGAGATCCTATGTCAAACAAAACAAAAACAAGACAGAATTTAGGTTCCACGGTAGATGGACAGGGGTATAGCCCAGTGGTGGAGCCCAGTGGTAGAGCATGTGCAAGCCTTAGGTTCAATCCTCAGTACTACTGTTCCAGTTTGTTTCTTACTGCTCTGACTAAACCAGCTTATGGTAAGGGAAGCTCTATTTAGCTTGCAGGTTTCATCATCGAGGGGTGGACTGGCCACAGTGATCTGAGTCTTCCACACCAAACCTTAATCAAGAAAATGCCCCACAGACCCAGCCACAGGCCAAGCTGATGGAAGCAATTCCTTAGTTGAGGGTCCTTCTTCCCAGGTGTCCCTAGTTGTGTCAAGGTGACAAAAACTAACCAGAAAAAAAAAGTTCCACGGTCACATGGTCAAGGTACAGTCAAATCTTACTTTTAATGATTCCTTTTTTAAAGCTTTGACTACAACTGTGCAGTCTAGTTTTTTGTTTGTTTGTTTGTTTGTTTTTTAGAGACAGGGTTTCTCTGTGTAGTTTTGGTGCCTGTCCTGGAACTCATTCTGTAGCCCAGGCTGGCTCAAACTCAGAGATCCGCCTGCCTCTGCCTCCCGAGTGCTGGGATTAAAGGCGTGCGCCACCATTGCAGTCTGTTTTAACCATAATCTCTAACCCCAGGTCAAGAGATCCATACTCAACTCAGTTTAAATAGCAAATGAAATGTATCAATTGCCTGTTGAGAAATTCAAGAAATTACAATTTGCTCATTTCCAGAAATAGAAAGACAGACAAGCAGGAGACGCCACATAACTGTCATTTTCATACTCACACTTGGGGAGATATATTTATCATCTTCATCAATTTCTAACGGAACAGCAATTAATTTCTGGAATGCCTTCTTCATTTTCTCTCGATCTCCAATGGCAAAACAACTGAGAATGAGGTTGAAGCCTGCCTTCAGATTCGGGGCCATACTCATGATGTGCTCGAATGAGTTAATGGCATCTGAATATTGACCAGTTTTTATAAATGTAATTCCAATGTTCTGCATTATTTTAATCCTAAACAAAGAGAAACAGGTTAGCCTGAAAAGTCTGAACTCCTAATATGACATTCAAGTTGCTGCACTTTCCTTTCTCATTTTACTTCCTAAGTTTAAGTTTTAATAGTACAACAGACAGGTCACAACATTTAATGTTACTGCCATATTTACACTCGTGGGACAGTACCCACATATTTAAGTCATTTCTATTACCTGAAGAGGAAACCTGTGCCTATTAACAGTTGTTCCCCATCCTCACAGTCACTACAGAGCCATTAATCTACTTTCTGTCTCTCTGCCTTTTCTAGTTATTGTCTATAAATAAAACTATGAAATGTCAGGCTCCACCCCCTTGACACAATCCTGAGGTTCCTCTACACTGTGGTATCAATGCCTCATCCCTTAAAAAAATCACTACATAGTATTCTATGGCATAGATATATTATATTACATTATTTTATTTTTTTGAGACAGAGTCTCACTGTGCAGCTCTGGCTGGCTTGGTGGATTGGAACTTTCTACATATACCAGGCTGGCCTCAAACTCAAAGAGATCTGCCTGCCTCTGCTTCCAGAGTACTGGGATTAAAGATGTGTGCCACAACACCTGGCCTTGCCATACTTTCTAATCTACTGCCTACTTGCTGGAAATTTGGGTTACTTCCACTTTTTTGATACTATGATTAATGCTACTATGAACATTCACATACAAGTCTTTGAAATAATGTAAATTTTCATTTCTTCTAGGTATATACCGAGGAATAGAATTGTTGGCCATATGGTAAATGTTTACCTTTTAAGACACTGCCTGTCTTGAAAGTAGCTGTAGTATTTCACATACACAATGCATGAGATTTCTAATGTAACAGCATCTGTGTCAATACCTGTCACTGTCAGTCCTTTTCAGCCATTCTAGTGGATATGATTCTGCCTCATTTCCAAGTATATCTGAACATGATCCCAGTGTTTATTCATAACTAGCTGGCTGGATCAGGATCATTCATTCTATGATGTTCTTTTTGTCTACAATGTAACCTACCTCAAGTCCTTGGTAGCTACTGCCTCGGCTAAATTACTATAGTACCCACTGCCTCAGTTATTATTAAGCATGTAATATATGCCCCTAAATTAAATTTTCCAGAAATGCTCAAATTCTTTGTTTTACCTGCGTTAAAGATGCTCCTAGAGCAGCAGTTCTCAACACGTGAGTTGTGACCCCTACAGGAATCACATATCAGATATCCTGCATATCAGATATTTACATTATGATTCATAAGAGCAAAATCATAGCTATAAAGTATCAACTAAATAATTTAATAGTTGGGGGTCACCACAACATGAGAAACTATATTAAAGGGTTGCAGCATTAGGAAGGTTGAGAACCACTGTTGTATTCTGTAAGTTATGTGACACTTGATAAAAAGTAGCATCTACAAATAAGGGACCATAACATATGATTTCATATGGTCCCTATGCCTAGGGACCATTAAGCCCATAAATATACTATTTCTGTTCTTGAATATTGGAGGAGTAGAAGATACCCTGCCTTCTCCCCTCTTCTATTCCACAGTAATCTCTTTTAGCCTTACTTTCAAAACAGTAGAGCGTGCACTGTAGTCTGCTCTGCTGTCACGACTGCTGTATGGCTGTGCTGGCATTAAGCTGTATGATGTTACGAACAGCCTACATGCTCAGCTTAGTTTTATTTTTATTTTTTGATCATATACTATTCCTTTAACCTTTATTTTGCCAATATGTGATATATATTACATATATATGTTACAAGTAAACAGAGCAAAACACCACATCTGAAACATGAATCTAATACCTCCCATCTACAAACACTTCAAAATGTTCAGCCCAATGACAGCAAACCACAAGTCATCTTGTTTCTGAAAAGACACTTAAACTTTATAGTCACCAGGTTCCACACTTACCTCATTTCTTTATGGACACTCGGGATCTGATCTAAGGCCATTCGGTAGAACTTAATGGCTTTGGAATAATTCCTCTGCTTTAAATAAATATTTCCCATATTCACTTTCAGTCTTCCTAATTAAAAAGATGAGTGTAAAACATTCTCATGTTTGTACTTTTCCTATGATATCTTAGATAATCTTAGTTTATATTCTCTAAAGCTTATTTTTCAAGTTAGGAGCTTTAAATGTTTTAAATTTTTATCGTGTGTGTATGCGTACAGGTACAAGTGCCACGGCACACATGTGAGGTCAGAGGAAAACTCATGGGAGTTGGTTCTCTCCTGCCACTTTCTAAGATCTGGATACGAAACTCAGGTCAGTAGCCATAGGTACAAGTGTGTGGACCCTTTGATCAATTACACTGGCCCAGTTACAAGTTTTAGACCTAAAATTCTAACATCAAAACAGTACACCATTGTCATATGGTCACACACTTCTCTATGGAGAAATGGAACTTCTTGAAAATATGGCTAGACAACTGTTTTTATTACAAAACTGAAGTGCATTATGCTAAGAAAAACAGGAGACAATGGTAAAAGTTCTTGCTGTGCAAGTCTGAGGAGCCGATTCCCTCTTGGAATGTGTAGTGGAAGAAAAGAACAGAATCCTGAGAGCTGTCCTCTGGCTCCACACATACACCATAACATTCATGCATTTACATTTATACACATACATATACACACACCATATACATTTAAAAAAGGGATATAAGACATTTGTAAATTACTCCATAATGGTACATAATTTTAATATTATTAAAGGAAACAATACTCACTATAATAAATCTTAATATTACAACAAAAACTATGTAATATAAATATACATTTCTCTCTTGGGAACACAGTCACATAATGAAAGAAATGTTCCATATGGTTGGCATGGCTCCTTCTTCCTATGATGAAATAATACTTTTTTTTTTTTTTGAGACAGAGTCTCACTATGTAGTCCTGGCTGTTCTGGAGCTCCCTATGTAGACCAGGTGGCCTTGAACTCAAGAGATCCACCTGCCTTGTGTCCAGTACTGGGATTAAAAGCATGCATCACCTCGCCCAACTTGGAATATATCTTCTGTTTGGTATTAGGCAGTTTATTTCATGCCAACTGCATTTATTCCTATATATGTATTTTTTTCACACACAGTATGTTTAAGCAGGACACCACATCATAAATATAAATTCACTTAAAGCATAGATCATTTTAATATAAGAAAACAAAGTGAGGAAATATAATTAACAAAACAAAAGAACTACATATCTGCGTGAATATTCATTATATACACCTACCTGCATTGCTAAACATCTTATTTTTCACTATAACTTGGTATGTATTTAGTGCTTCTGCATACATTTCATTAGCTGAATACTGACTGGCCAAGTTGAAGAGAACCTAGGAAAGAAACATTATAAGAAGCCACATAATAACCACTCTAGGCCCCATTCACTTGCAGTCATTCTGGAGGTTAAAACGCTTGAACAACGCTATGTCTCAAGATAGCCAGCCAATCATGCAAACCTACCTTGCATTACAAGTGAATAGAGTGCAGATGATGGAGGGCTGTCCTCTAAACTTCACTTAATTTTCTTTGTATTCTTTTTTTAATTTGAGTACTACGTAAGGAATTTTAGGAAGACTCACAAAGAATAAATGTGCTTTGCTAATGCTATTGGTAGAAAAATAAGAAAAGGACTATTGAGTTCTCCTTACAAGTGGAAATGAAATATTATATAGAAATATCTTAAACCATAAAGCATATCAGAGAAGGCTTTGTATAACAACAGCTTTTTCTGAGACAAGGTCTCACTATGTAGCCCAGGCTGGCCTGGAACTCTCTATGTAGACCAGGCTGGTCTCCAGCTCACAGAGATCTGCCTGCCTCTGCCTCCTGAGTGCTGGGATTAAAGGTGTGCGCCACCACTGCTCTGCCATATTTGCATTCTTGGTCCACAAATGGTGGAATTGTTTAGGAAGGATTTGGAGGTGTGGCTTTGTTGAAGGAGGTGTGTCACTGGGGTGGGTTTTGAGGTTTAAAAAGCTCACATCATTCAGTCAGCTTGTTCTCTCTGTGCCTTATGGTTTGCTGCCCCAAACTTGCAGCGACTTCTCCAGCTCCATGCCTACCTGTCTGTTGCCAAGCTCCCTGTCACGATGGTCATGAACTCACCCTCTGAAACTGCGAGCCCTCAGTTAAATGCTTTCTCTTATAAGCTGCCTTGGTCATGGTGTTTTGCCATGGCAATAGAAAAGTAAGATAGTATCCCATAAGTCTGAACAAACTTTATGATTTGGTGAAAAAATCTTTTCCTAAATGCTACAAGAGGGCTAGGGATGTATGTGACAGAGTACTTCACTGGCATATACAACGTCCTGGGTTTGATCCTTATCACTGGAGAAAGAAATGAAAACCAAAACAGACAAAAATGGAGAGCCTTGGGATGGAGAGGTGCTGGCAAGCACCCAGTACTCATCAGGTGTAGCTAGAGTTTTCCTGCCTGGCCCACAGTCAGGGCAAATCTCTCTCACCTGCCAGTCCCACAGCCACTCAGACCCGACCAAGTAAACACAGAGACTTATATTGGTTACAAACTGTATGGCCGTGGCAGGCTTCTTGCTAACTGTTCTTACAGCTTAAATTAATCCATTTCCATTAATCTATACCTTGCCACATGGCTCGTGGCTTACCGGCATCTTCACATGCTGTTTGTCATCATGGCGGCTGGCAGTGTCTCTCTGCCTCAGCCTTCCACTTCCTAGCTTTATTCTCCTCCTTGTCCTGCCTACACTTCCTGCCTAGCCAATGGCCAATCAGTGTTTTATTTATTGACTAATCAGCAACACATTTGCCATACAGAACATCCCACAGCAATCAGGCACAGCAACACTTACGGAGTACGTTAAGTCCAAGTTGATATTTTCTGGAGTCGTAACTTGCTCTCGCTGTCTCACCAGGACTCTCTCTTTTCTTCCTGCATCTTTTGCCTTTTCTAAGGCCTGAAATCAGATTTATACTTGGTTAAGACAGGCTCAAGCATTCCCCAATATTTATGCATCTCTATGATGTGTGACTGAATTAGTCTTCCACCTCAGATTTCTCTGAATGCCCCTTTGCAGGCTCATACAAAATTCCCAGAATATTGTTAAAATGGTGCTCTGTAATAAACAACTGTTTTCCTGGAAACGGGTGTATTTACTGCAAGTTAACATTGTACCACCCTTCCTGCCACCTTTTGGATTTGATTATGTGCTGTCGAATAATTCTTCTGTACACTGTGAATATATATTGATCTCATTAATTAATAAAAAGCTGACAGGCCCATAGCCAGGCAGGAAGTATAGGCGGGACAGCCAGACACAGAGGACACTGGGAAGAGAAAGGGAGGAGTCAAAGGAGTCACCAGCCAGACACAGAGGGAGCAGGAGACCAATGTAGCATGCTGAGAAAGGTACCACCACATGGCCAAGCGTGAATAAAGAATATGGGTTAACTTAAAATATAAGAGCTTGTTAGTAATAAGCCTGAGCTAACAGCCAAGCATTTATAAGTAATATTAAGTCTCCAAGTGATTATTTGGAAGTGGCTGCAGGTTGGGGCAAGACACAGAAACTCCATTTACAATTATGCTTATGTTATCTTTTTTCCTCCCAATTCCTAAGTATTTGATTATTTTAATTCAATCTTAAAAGGTAGGATTTAGATGGATTTTGTTTGGCTTTGAGGATACTCAAAATTCAATAAGCTAAAAGATAACAATTGTCTAATATTACGAGAAATGTTTAGCTTGGGCCCTAGAATACTCAAATATCATGGATCTTTTGTTGATTTCTACAAAAAAGCATAATAAGAGACTTAGCTTTTTAAGTCATGAAAAGTTGTAATTGCAAGGACTGAGAACTAAAGTAATATAACAAACCAAACTGAAAGTAAAGATTTAGCAGCCAGGTGGTATGACCTTTAATCACAATACTACAGAGGCAGAGGCTGGAAGATCTCTGTGAGTTTGAGGCCAGCCTGATCTACATAGTGAGTTCCAAAACAGCTAGGGCCATGTAGAGAGACCCTGACTAAAAAATCCAAAACCAAACAACAACAACAAAAAAGAAGCAGAAGCAGAAGCAGCAAGCAAGAAAAGAGCTAGGCCTGGTGGCATCACAGCTGTGTGGGAGGCTGAAGCAGGAAGATTACAAGTTCAAGGCCAACCTAGGTAACTAAGACTGTCTCAAAATAAAGAATGCTGTGGATATAGCTCCATGGTAGAGGGCTTACCTAACATGCACAAGGCCCAGGAAGGAAGGAAGGAAGGAAGGAGGGAGGGAGGGAGGGAGGAAGGGAGGAAGGAAGGAAGGAAGGAAGGAAGGAAGGAAGGAAGGAAGGAAGGGAAAATTTTATGTTAAAATGTGGTGATGCAATATTCTGAAAATATCCCTTACAGCCTAAGAGACTGGAACTTTTGCTGGACCTCACAGCCAGAGTTAATGATACACCTTGAAGTCATTTAAGACTTGAAACTGCTATCCTACTGTGTGCTCAAACTGCTTGTTGAAGAACCTGCCTTTAAGAGAACAATATAACAACCAACCTTTCTTGCCTTGGGCTTCCCATGTCATCAACTTTTACAACCTAAGCTAATGCATAGCTGCAATCTTAAATTATGTTCTCTTCCATGCCCCTGAACCAGATAATGCATGTGTATCATGTGCTGAAAGGAACAAATATGGAAATTGAAAGCAACTTCCTAAAATCTATAATAAGGTTGAAAGCAATCATTATGGACACTGGTTGATAAACAATGGTATTTATATTATGTTGTTGTCTGGGTCAGTTAGGATCATTTGCAGCCAGTGACTTAATCCTGTAAAAAACTCTGCTAAAGATTTCTGTAAGAATTCCATGCCTTCCCCAGGTGATGCTTTCTGTGCTGTCCAGTACACACAGAGTGAACCCTTTGTGAGGGACGGACACACAGACGGACACACAGGGACAGCCATGAATACAGATGCAGGCACAGATTCAGACTCATGCAGCAGACAGAGGACATGGACAAAGACACAGGGAGTATGAAGCAGAGAATTCCATCTGAACTCGCTCTTGGTTAAATGACTCTAGGGGGAAGTGATTTTATTTCTTTCCTTAATGCATGATTGGCAACTTGGGAGTTAATCACTAACGCATTACATGTGCGCATTAAAAAGCAGAGTTGAAATCCTGAAAGGCCAGTGAGGTTTCGATGAGGAAACAGAACTTAGGAAGCTGGGCATGGTAGCACATGCCTATTGCCCCAGCATGCAGAGGGTGAAAACGTACAGGCAGGAGGAGCATGATTCCCAGGCCACTCTCAGCTATAGTAAGACCCTGGCTCAGTAAAAAGGGAAAATAGTGCTCTATAGCACAGTGTGCTTCATGAGTCATGGTGCTGGGTTTTGGAAATACTACACGGAATTGTTTCCATATTAAAAAGACCAGTGTTAATGTTGGGCCTAGAAAGATGGCTCAGGGGTTAAGAATACTTGCTGCTCTTGCAGAGGACTAGGGTTTGGTTCCCAGCAACCACAGGGCAGCTCAAACGGTCTGTAACTCGTGTTCCAGGGGATCCAACACCCTTTTCTGGCCTCCATAGGCACATGTGATTTACATACACACATATAGGCAAAACATTCATACACACAAAATACACATAAATCTTTGGAAAAAAAACAATGTCAAAAATTGTAAGATTGCCCAATTGTGGTATCAGAATTTGTAAAGCAAAATTCTCAAAATAATTGTCTTAGTCAAAGCCTAAGGCCAGACAACAGCAGAAGAAAATGTGCACATGTATGTGTATGTTTAAAAGTAGATACAGACATCAACACACATCTCAGAATCTGATTTTCCATGTTTATGAACTTACCAGCTTTAAGTCTCCACAGCTGTTGGCAATACAGCTTTCTTCTACCAATTCGTTTACTTTCTTCTCCAACTGTCTGATCTTTTCCTCTGGACTGTTGAAAAACCAGTGGGTGTAGATTAAATCACTCAACCATGAAAATCTATACCACCAGTTACTTTGGGATATTGCCTATTAAATGCCATTAAGCTTTAAAATTAGATTTCAAATGAGGATATACATGGAATTGCAAAACAAAACAACCACTACTGTGCTTAATAATTACATTAGTCATATATTAATAAACATTAGTGAATTAGTCATAATAAATAAACATTAAAATAAAATGAATATTTATTTAGAGCCAAGTGTAATAATCACACACTGAACAGAATGTGCCACCCTAACAACTTCAATTACTTCTCATAAAACACTTGACGTGAGAACTGTAACTGCATTTTAATGAAAACTAAACAGGTTTAGAAAGTTTTGCCCAGGATCACAAAGCTAGCAAGGGAGAGAGCAGGATCTAGACCAGGCAGGCACACTGGGCCCCTGCAACTGGAGTCACTACTCCAGCAAGGTTTGGCTGGTTTTTAAATCTATGAAAAATGAAAACTTCCCCTATGGCTAGGAAAACTAAAGCTCATAAAAGAGATTTAAAGTTACTTATGAACACAAGAATGTTATAAAGAAAATTTCTAACGAGAGTAAACAGTTTAAAAATCTTGGCTCTTGCCGGGCGGTGGTGGCGCACGCCTTTAATCCCAGCACTCGGGAGGCAGAGCCAGGCGGATCTCTGTGAGTTCGAGGCCAGCCTGGGCTACCAAGTGAGTCCCAGGACAGGCACAAAGCTACACAGAGAAACCCTGTCTCGAAAAACCAAAAAAAAAAAAAAAAAAAAAAAAAGGTATTAAGTTGTTGAAAGGTGGTTTAGGAGTGTATCTAAGAGGAACTGGTGGAGGAGTGAGGAAGTACATATGATCAGAATACACTGTATGCATGTATAAAATTCAGAAAGAATAAAAATACTGTATGAATTAAAAAAAACTTCGACTTTTTTTTTTTTTTTTTTTTTTTTTGGTTTTTCGAGACAGGGTTTCTCTGTGTAGCTTTGCGCCTTTCCTGGAACTTACTCTGTAGCCCAGGCTGGCCTCAAACTCACAGAGATCTGCCTGGCTCTACCTCCTGAAATTAATCCCTGGGATTAATCTGTAACTTTAAATCTCTTTTATGAGCTTTAGTTTTCCTAGCCATAGGGGATTAAAGGATTAAAGGCGTGTGCCACCACCGCCCAGCCTAAAAAAAAAAACAAAAAAAAAACTTTGACTTTATTAAGAGCAAATTATCCTGGACCTGTAGATACAGCTCAGTTGTAGAACAATTGCTGGGCATATGCAAGGCCCTATTCAATTTCTAGCAACACACACACACAAATTAATAAACAATTGCCAAAGCAGTCACATTTGAAAATAATGTTAATGTTGATTTGCTACCACTTTCTTCCAGGAAAATAGTGTAACTCTCTATATATGCACTGATTCCTTAAGAAAATCCCAATGAAGTTACGTCTAAGTATTGTGAGATATTTGATTACACTGTGTAAAGATATGTCACTGATCAGTTTAATAAAAAGCTAAATGGCGAATAGCTAGGCAGGAGGTATAGCAGGGACTTCTGGGAAGAAGAAAGGCAGAATCACCAGCCAGACACAGAGGGGGCAAGACATGCAGGAGGAGAGGTAAAAGCCATGAGTCACATGGCAACATGTAGATGAATAGTAATGGGTTAATTTAAGTTTTCAGATCTAGTGGGACAAGCCTAAGCTATAGGTTGAGCTTTTATAATTAATAATAAGTCTCTGTGTCATTTTTTTTGTGAGCTGGTGGCCCAAAGAAAAATCTACCTACATCCAAGTAGATAGCTCTCTTAATTCACTACAAACGTACTTTTTAAAAGAATTCAGGAATAAATATACAGTAGTTTTATCTATAACCTCTTATTCTATGGGAGACTAAAAATATGTATTCTAGTGGTCAATAAAGAGCTTTAAAATTCAAACTGAGCAATGGCATAACAAATGGAAATTTTTATTTAAAAAAAGTGTTTGGAGAGATGGTTCAGTGGTTAAGAGTACTAACTGCTCTTCCAGAAGACCAGGATTCAATTCCCAGCAGCCACATGGTGGCTTACAACCATCTGTAATTCCAGTTCTAGGGGATCTGATGTCCTTATATGGTCTCTGTGGGTACCAGGCATGCATGTGATACACAGACATATATGTAGACAAAACACTCATATACATAAAATAAAATAAACAGAAATTTAAAATTTTATAGTGAAGTTTAAATATACTCAACTTGCCAGTTCAAGCTGGCCTCGAACTCAAAGATCCACCTGCCTCTGCCTCCTGAGTGCTGGAATTAAAGGTGTGGCTACTACCATCCAGCTTCAATAAAAGTCTTTAAATGTTACTTACAGATTGCTAGTAAACCAAAAACATTAATATAAAATATATATATACATAATGCCCTAATCAATTCCAATAAGATAAAATTGGTCTGCAGACACTGCTAGGTGTCTGACAAGAGCCTGCTAGCCAGTGCAGACACCAAGCTGGAGTAGAGCACCTCACTCTCCTCTCAGCAGTGGACTCGGCCCTAAGCCTCTGATGCATTCGAGGTCAATGAGAAATAAGGGCACATGGGTTTGTGGTAGAGAGAGCTGCAAAGGTCTCTGCTTTGTTGAAAGGGACTGGAATCCTGGAGCTTTCAGCCACTCAACTCTTCAGTTACATGTTATTCTGAACTCTCACCACTCTCTGGGCACCAAAAGGGTAGAGGAGAAGCCAAACAAGGGCTGATGCTATTGAGCAGTAAAATCAGCCACACCAGAACTGCCCTTCCTTCAGAACTCACGCTGTGTAACACAATAAATGCTCTAATTATGTGTGCATGTTTCCAGATTTCTCTTCTTCGTGAGCAGTAAAAAGAACCTAAATTACATTAATACTTAAATAACACCCTTCCCCCCACTAGCTTGGGTACAAAATAAACTGGTCATCTATAGAGGTTCCTTGTTAGTCAAAAGGGAACTTATATAATATACATAATAGCCCCAAGTACTGTGATTAAGAATTACAATTTTAAACATAGGAGGGACTGGGGATGCAGTGTAGTAGTACAGTGCTTGCTGGCATGTATCAGGCTCTGGGTATCACAAAACCAACCAATCAGCCAAACCCCCCCCCCCCACACACACACTCTCACTTGCACACTCGCGCACACTCGCACACACAGTACCTAACAACATGCAGCCTGGAACTTGCCAAACTGAGTTTGCATCTCAGCCACGCCCTTTATCAGCCTCAGCAAGTGAAGTCCCTGGGCTTCCTTCCATTCCTTCTCTCAACTGGTGATAGTAATAGCTCCATTTTCATGTGTAAAGCTCTTAAGTGCCTGCACTCAGGAAACTCACTAACTGCCAGCTAGCTGCTCTTTATGTACAATGTGTGCACCAAGGGCCATAGGCAGCCTGAATGCACACAGCTGTGAACCCTGAAGCTTTTAGGTTTATGTCTAGACAACTGTAAAGAGTTAATTCTCTAGAAAATGAATTGCTCAGGCTAAGGCTGTAGCTTGGTGATAAAGTATATATATGTATAGCAAATTCAAGGTCCTGGGTTGAACCCAGCACCACACACACACACACACACACACACACACACACACACACACACACACACACACAATTAAACTGGTCAATAAATAATATGGCAAACTAACTTGCTATTTTTCTCTTAAACTTTTTCTTTGAAAAACACCCTTTTAAAATAACATACCATTTATAATCCTGTTTGGCCTTCTAGAGAATTCCTACTCATGAAACTTAGCCCACAACTGCAGTCAACTTACAGTCCAATGAGATGGCACAACTTCACATGACTATTCCTAGATTTTTTTTTCTTCACTAAGTTCAAGAATGGGGATGAAGTTTCATCAGCATGCTGCTCACACAGCTTAACTTATCTATCTAGAGAAAAAAAAATCATGCAGCAGCAGCAACACAGCAGCGTAAGGCCTTGCGTACCTATCTTCGTTTTTGGCTTCCAAAGGAGGAGCAGGGCCCTTGGACTGGCCGAGGGGGTCAAACGCAGAGCCTGAGACACAATTTAAGACTTTAAGTTTATGATCCAGCAAAGTTGAAGAGAACTTTGTACATAAGTACATACATAAGTTACCATTTATAATATGGTGTAAGTTCAATAGGCAAAACACTATCACACATAAGTATTTCATGGAAATTGTTAAGATTTTTAACACACATGAAACTATAAACAAAACTTACAGACTAACAAATAAAAACAAAAATAAATTATTCCCTAAGTATTTACTTTTTTCCTTCATAGGTCTGTATTTCTAGTTTGAACTCTAAGTTATCAAACATGTAAGGTATAACCTGGGATTAGCTTTCTAATTTTTCTTATTGGTATAATAAACAATTTTTTATTTTTAATAATTTAACTTATGTATTTAAAGAATATTTTCACCTTTCATTTTAAAGATCAAATTCTAACTTATACAAACAACATTTCACATTTCAGGTGCGTACTTGAACACATTTCCACAAACTCCACACTGGTGTGACTACCGCCCCAAGTGAGTTACAGCACAGTCTCACCAGCCTCTCCTTCCCTCTTACTCTCCATTTGAGCAGGCTCTCCATATGGAGCCTGCTAGAAAACATGTGGCACAACTTTCTCAGCCTCCCCAGTGCTGGGGTTACAGGTACGAACCACCAGAGCCAGCTTACCCCGTTCCTTTCTTAATGGTACCTAAAATCATGGTGCATCTTGTAATCAATGGCTGGTTTGATTTTATTTTAAATGGAAATGATACGCACATACAACAATGGGGGTGGGTGCTAGGGAATGAACCCACCTCGTAAAGCTGCCTTGGAAAAGCCAGCTGCTCTCACTGCTGTCATGGGTCGAGCAACTCCATCCTTCAAAGAACAAGAATCATTTAAAACTTATTCTTGAATAAGAACTATACCTATTGACAATTCTGCACATAACACACATCCTACTTTAGTCCTGATTTTTTAAAAACGATTTACTAATTTTATTTTTTTCTGTAAATTGTTGCTTTGCTTACACATATATCTGTGTGAGGGTGTTGGATCCCCTGGAACTGAAGTTACAGACATTTGTGAGCTGCCCTCTGGGTGCTGGGAATTGAATCTGGGTCCTCTGGAAGAGCGTCTAGTGCTCTTACCCACTAAGCCATCTCTCCAGCCCATTTAGCCCTGATTTTTAATAGCCATTTCCTCATGCCTTACTTCTTCATCCTCATGCAGCAACCCTGTCTCTCTTTCCCCTCTAAAATTTAAATGCCTTGATCCAACTCTTCTTTTCTTGGTTATAAAAGAACAAACTAGTGCTGTGGAACAATCTTTGTACACTGTAAATATGTATTGCTCTCATTGTTAACAAAAAGCTCATTGGCCAATGGCTAGGCAGGATTTTGGGGGCAGAGAGAATGCTGGAAGGAGGGCAGAGTCAGAGAAGTCACCAGCCAGATGGAAAGGAAGCAGGAGGGGTAAAAGCCATAAGCCTCAGGGAAGCACATAGATTAATAGAAATGGGTTAATTTAAGTTGTAAGAGCTAGTTAGTAATAAGCCTGAGCTATTGGCCCAGCATTTATAATTAATAATAAGTCTCTGAATGGTTATTGAATGGTTATTTGAGAGCTGGCGGTCTTAACAAAAAACTCTGCCTACAAACCAGCTTATTTGTCAGCTACTCCTGGCTGGTCTCCCATATGCTACAAGAGAATCCACAGAAACTGCTATAAAAAGTAGCACAGGAGAATGAGTTCCAGCTACTTCAGAAGAACAAAGCATCAGTCTATGTCAGTTCCAACAGGATCTCACTTGAGACTGGAGCATACAAATCCAAAGAAAGCATGCTTCTGAAGATTCAAAGCAGCCCAAATGTTACCCCACAAGGTAAAGGTGTTACTATACAAGTAATATCTTTGTTAGAATTGTTAAAGTATGAGAAGAGGAAAACCTTTGGTAATAAAGTCTAAAGCTACTAAAGATAGTCTAAAGATAAACCACAGGAGCAGACATACCTGGATAGTCCCTGTCATTGGTCTTCCCATTGATGACGTCAGGGATGTCTTAGACTAATAAGCAGAAAAGCAAGTTAAACCAATTCCTAAAACAGCTGCCTGTAACTTTACAAATCAAACTATAGGCACTTCTCCTAATTTTTCTTCACTCTATCTACCCATAACAAACAAATTTTTTCATTCGTCACTTAATAGTGTGGGATCAATTTGCAAACCTATTAAACAGGGGTCAGCACACACCACCATCTGCGCTGTAAGTATGGTTTGCTGGACTACAGCAAAACCCCACCCATTTACACCCCGCCTGTGGCTGCTTTTGTATTACAAACACCACTGCATAGATACTTGTAACAAAGACCATTTGATCTGCAAAACTGAAAATCTCTGTCCCTTCACCTCCTCTTACTGTGAAGCAAGACCAAACGTAAATCCATCCTCAGGCTTCCTGTAGGAGGCTATTCTCCTTACTCATGTAAAGGACTGCTGTAAAGGCTAATGCTCTGGGCCTCTGGGCTGTGAAGCCATTTTGCTGGCCCTAGAGTACATGATCATAAAGATGAAAAAAAGCTACTCCACTTCAGTCTTCTATTTTTCTACCATTCTTTCTTATTTTATGTAAGCCAAAAATACTTATGTAAGTTAAGTAAAAGGATTATTACTCCTAGGGAATTTAGAGACTATTTCCCCCAAAGGGTAGATAAGATAAAACCCAGACATACATCTCTGAAACATTTTCTTCAATTTCATATTTTCACTGGTTAAGTTCTTATAAACACAATTGTGCTTATGTAACATCTAACTTCATGTGGAACTCATGAATGGAATGCACACAAGAGTTGGTTATATTAGGCAGGAAACAGAAATCAATCAGCAAACAAGAAGGTCTTCAAATAGAAAAGGATAATAAAATATAGTTGTGCATAAATCAAACTTACTAAAATGTTCAAAGCTATTACTCAAATTAGACTTTTTAATACCTATAACTATATATCTGGGTCATGACTTGACAAAGCCTAAATTATTTAGAACTGCCTTATATGAACTTACACATATTTTAAGAAACATCTTAATATTTTCCACTTAATAGAACTTACCCCAGCCGGGACACCTTTAATCCCAGCATGCAGGAGGCAGAGGCAGGAGGATCTCTGTGAGTTCGAGGCCAGCCTGGGCTACAGAGTGAGTTCCAGGAAAGGCGCAAAGCTACACAGAGAAACCCTGTCTTGAAAAAACCAACACCCCCCACCCCCAAAACAGAACTTACCCCGTATCCAGTGGCTATGGGTCTGCTGACTGCTGTGCTTGGTATTTTAGCTGTTACCTTGGGAAGGAAAAGGAGCATAGTTAGCAATATTCAGATCAGGCTAAAAAACAGAAAATGCAGAGAGACTCAATGGTGAAGAAATGTTGTATTTGGTGGTCCTGCCCAGGGAAGAGCACACCAATTGGTTGTCTGATGCCAAATTGTTATACATGCAAATAACATTATACAGACTGAGCAAGCTATATTTAGGAATGTGTGTGTGTGTGTGTGTGTGTGTGTGTGTGTGTGTGTGTGTGTGTGTGTGTGTGTGTGTGTACATACATGCATGCAATAACAATGAAAAAAAGATCCCATGAATTTGAAGGAGAGTGAGGAGGGGTAAATGGAAAGGTTTGAAGGGAAGGGAAGAGAGAAATGTTGTGATTATATTATAATCTCAAAAAGGGGGAAATGTCATACTTAGAATGATTGCTTAAATACTAGGGAGTTCAGTTATTGAAAGTGCTGAGAAGAAGCCTCAGTTTGAAATTGATTTTAAAGGAAAGGGACTTGGGAATGATCTTAGACCCTAATAAGCCCAGGTTTTATGCTTGCATCCACCATTTATTCAACACATGCTGCATCCTTGGTGCTACAGCCACAGACCCCACAAACAGAAACAGCTTTGGAGGCTACGGGATTTGAATCCCAGTTCTCCCTCAACGATATTTAATATCTTTGAGTCCAAATTTCTTCAACTTTTAAGTAAAAAGGATTCTGAGTGCAAAGGATACAAAGAACACATCATACAATTGGAGCTAGACTCAAAAGGGACCATGTGAAAGTGACCTCACATGCTAGCTGCTGGGAATAACTGAGTATCATTCAAAAAGGAATTCTTCTTGCTATACTGGACTGTTTTACCACTACTAAAAAGGCTGACACAAAAATGTTTGTTAAAAAACAAGTTTGGAATGGGTAGTGGTGGCACACACCTTTAATCCCAGCACTCAGGAGGCAGAGGCAGGTGAACCTCTGAATTCGAGGCCAGCTTGATCTACAGAGAGTTTCAGGACACCCAGGGCTACACAGAGAAACCCAGTCTTGAAAACCAAACCAAACCAAACCAAAAATCCAGTCTGGGTTGGTCAGATGGCCCATTGTATAAAAGCACTTGTCAGGCAAACCATCAGACTTGGTTTGGTGTAAGGAGAAAACCAACTCCAAAAAGTTGTCCTCTGACCAAATGATACACACACACTGTACCCACACACACTCAGATATCACACACACACACACACACACACACACACACACACACACACACACTCTCTAAAAATCTGTTTGAATGCACTGTAGAACTACTAAAGTAAGACATAAAGTCTTAAGATAGGAAGAAAAGGAGTCTTCGCTGGGGCAGGTTTTTGTTTTTCTTTTTTTATCCATTTATTTTTATTTTATGTGCACCAGTATTTTGCCTACATGCATGTCTGTGTGAGGGTGTCAGATCACGTAGAATTAGAGTTACAGACAGTTGTGAACTGCCATGGGAGTGTTAGGAATTGACCTGGATCCTCTGGAAGAGCAGTCATCTCTCCAGCCCCAGGAAAGTTTTCTGTCCTCAAGGCATCTTTCCATTCCACAGGCAAGGCTGAGAAGCTGAGCAAAGCCCTGACATTCAAACTGAGGTAATATGTGCTGGAAGAGAGGGTCTGCCAGGGAGACAGCCCTGGTAATCACTCAGGCTTTAGTGGGTCATCTCAAAGGGCTCTACACTGAGGCCAGAAGGCAAGCAGAGAGACAAACAAATAGAGAGCTATCCAGAAGGCACACATACAGTGCAAACACCAGACACGCACCGCCACGCTGAGTGAGTGCCAGGAGTCAGGTCACAAGGCCAGCAGTTTCAGCAGAAAACTGAGAACAGTGAAAAAGGAATGAGCCAACGTGGTGCTGCACACCTGCGATCCTGCGAATACAGGAGCAAGTTCAAAGCCAGGCTGGCCTACATGGTGAGACTCTGTCTCCAAAAGAAAACCAAAAAACAGGAATAGATGGCAATTACAGTTCCGAAAACAATGCAAAATTCTGCTGTTGTTAGGAACTGGGAAAACTATTTATGTGAGCATTCATAAATTAAAATAGACCAAGAAAGAAAGAATGCCTTTTCAACATTCAAAAGGAAGAAGTTGACTTTTTATCTTACACCACTCACATAAAATTAATTCAAAATATATTAAAGACCAAAAACTACAAATTTCCTGAGAGAAAATAGTAGCAGAAAGGCTCACAGCCTTAGCCTTAGCAATGATTTCTAGGACACACCACCAAAAGAATAAGCAGTAAGACAGACAAACAGGACTGCATCGATCCAAAAACTTTTGTGTACCAGAGACTATAATCAAGAACATGAAAGTAGCCCACAGAATGGGAGGAAAGCCTTTGCAAACCACGGCTCTGAAAGAGGACAACAAAGATTATAACGATGGACTAGAGAACATGTACTAAGTAAAATGAAGGGCTGGCTGGACCCAACACGCAAATACTGCAGGATTCCACCATGTGAGAGGTCTCGTAGTCAAAGGTGCAGAAATGGAAATCTGGGCGGTAGCTACTGGAGTGTTGGGGAAGGAAAAGCTGGGGGAGGGGCTGGTATTTAATGGGCAAGAGTTTTCAATCTGCAAGAGGAGGTCACTCTGAAGCTCTGCTTCACAACAATGTACTTAGCACTACTGGGTTGGACACCTAAACATGACTATGATGGCAAATTTTATCAATGATTCCTACAATTTCATTTTCAATTTGCTTACCGGAGGTCTTCTGCCATGACTGGTTCTCACCGCTTGCTGAAAACCTGTGTCATTCTCCAACTCCTAAAATAAAAAGGCAAAATTAACATTCAAATGTGAATAAATGTGACAAACTTTAAACTCTCCTGGTTCATATTCAAGACCTTCTATAATTCATCTTACCCTAAAGACAGACTCCTGTCTTCAAGTTCTACACCCCTGATCCCCCAAATATCAAGGCTCCTTCTACCCCCTGGAATCTTGGGAAACATCTTTTTGCAAAGAGCTTGGCCAAAGTAGAAGAATAATTAATTATGCTGGTGGGTGCCATTGACTGCACATGTCCCAGGAAAGTCCTCAGTGTTTATGACTGAGAACTGTGTACTTACTCACCATTTAAAATAACCAAAACCCCTAGAAGAGGGTGGAGCCATCACCTGGCTAACTGTCAAATACTCAGACACGTCCTTTCCTCCTCCTCCCTCCATGGTGGCTGGAGGAATGAGATTCAAATCTTTCTCCTTCCCTCTCTCCTCTTCCCCTTTTCTCTTCATCCTCCCCTTCCCCTCCTTCCTCACCCTTCCCCTCTCCTGTCTCTTCCTCTTATATTCCAGGATCACACTACAGTCCCTACCTAAGGAAACTGCAGGATGGAAAGGGCCATATTCTCTACAAGCAAGAAGGCAAATAATTTCTCTTGTTCCTTTTCTGTGTGTCCATGTGACAAGTGGAAACCTGCACTGCAGGTGGGAACCAATGTCTCCACTGAAATAAACTTTCTGACTCTTGACCTGTACTTAATTTCCCCAAGGAAGTCTGAGGAAAGGCCTGTGGGGTATACATGTTCCTGAGTTATGTGGAATCCTGTCTTACCAAGTGCCCGTCTTCTGAACGGCTCTCACTTCCTACTTCTGGACTAACTTCAGATACACTGAACACAACCTCACACCTGCCTTTGATGTACTTTGGGCTGCTTCCTAAAAAGCACACTTGGTGCTGTAGTTTGGATGTGGCTTCTGCCTCCAGGGATTAAGGATAGAGGCTCAGCCCTCAATGTGGTGGTGTAGACAGTGTGGCTCTTCACGAGGTTGGGCCAAGCAGTGAGATTATTGCAGCTGCTGAGCTAAGACATGACTAATACCGTTCCTGAGCGAATGGGGTGTTGTAAGGTAAGATGCCCCTCTCCACTATGGCTGTCTGTCTCACCTGTGATCTGTCTTTCCTGTAGACACTTCATCATGATGCCACTTACCATACTAATGGTAATACAGCCAAGTAATATTTATATTACTAAGAATGGTAATTAAATGTGATACTGACGAGGATGAATTGATACAACTGTCCCATCTTGAATGTTCAGCCTCAAAACTGTGGCTTAAGTGTTTTGCTTTTCTACATGGTTCCCAGACTCAGGTATTTTGTTATAAAACACTTGAAAAATAAATATAGCCAATGCCTGTAAAATAGTCACTATCAATTAACTAGGGAAAAAAAACTCTAAATGGATAATCAAAACTGAATATCTACATAACCATGATGTTAGTCAAATAAATTTTAAAACATGATTTTTATCACATACAAGTTATATGTGATAATAGTATATATACATACAACATACATATACATCACATACATATATATCACACACAATATATATGCTTCATACTTATAACTTCATATCAAACTTACAAAATTAAATGTATACACAACTCTTAGTCATAAAAACTAGGAACTTTTATGTGAGTCTAAAATCAAAGGCAGCCACCACCATAACTGATATCTTTACTTTGGCAGATCTTTGACAAAAAGATGTCTCTTAAGATCTATCTCTAAACTAGTAGTAAAAATTGGGCAATGGCCGAGCGGTGGTGGTGCACGCCTTTAATCCCAGCACTTGGGAGGCAGAGCCAGGCAGATCTCTGTGAGTTCGAGGCCAGCATGGTCTACAGAGTGAGATCCAGGAAAGGCACAGAGCTACACAGAGAAACCCTGTCTCAAAAAACCAAAAAAACAAAACAAACAAAACAAAATTGGGCAACTTAACTAACAACAAGTTTAAAAAGATGGCCAATCAACGCTTCAATTACAAACAATAAATGCCACTCTTAACTTTTTTTCTGTACCTTAATTATCAACTTGCACATGAACATCTTAAGCAAATTTCAAATGATTCAGTTATCTACTGAAATATTTCTCCTTTTTTTTTTTTTTTTGGTTTTGGTTTTTTGAGAAGCCCTGGCTGTCCTGGAACTCACTCTGCAGACCAGGCTGTCCTGGAACTCACAAAGATCCACCTGCCTCTGCCTCCTGAGTGCTGAATCTGTTCTTTTATTATTTATAACTATTTTACTGCTATTTGTTAGATTTTTATTATTAATTTTCTCCAATTCTCTAAATTTTGCTGCTTTTCTGTGGAGTGCTCAGGTTACAGGCATGTGCTGCCACCCCCAGTTGCTGTCCTCACGTTCTGTAATGATCAGTAAGTACCACACAGATTTCCACCATCCCTATTTCCCTTCTTGCTTCCTCTCTACAAGTCACATTCACACAGAGCCACTTTACTCCAAAGTAAAACCTCCAGAAAGCCGTGTGAAAAATTCTAGAACAGAATGAGAATGTCTAAAGTCCACATGCACTAGTATTTTATTCTTATACATTTGCAAATAAATTAACAAGCACATCTTTCTTGTCTTTTCTTTTTTTTTTTTGAGACGGAGTCTCACTATGCAGCTCTTGCTGGTTTGGAGCCCACTACAAAAACCAGGCTAGACTCAAACTCATGGAGCTCTGCCTGCTTCTGCCTCTCAGGTGTTGGCATTAAAGGTGTGTGCACCACTATGCCAGATGCTTTCATTCTTTTACCCATACTCGGTTAAGATAACTTTTATAAGGTTTTCTGTTTTGTTTTGTTGTTACAAAATTCTGAAACTGTAACTTTTATAAGAGATGTAAATAGGTGAAAATATCCAAATTCGTCTTAGTAGTAATTTCATCTTTGTAATTATTATAAAATTAAATATTAAACAAACAGATTAACTGACATAAAGGAATACCAATACACAGCATGATCCCATATTATCAAAACATATATAGATACACATTATGTTGGCATAAGGAAAAATCTGGTAAGATAAGCCCTGTAAGTTAGTCTGCAGAGTAACAGTTTCTATGTCTGTAATTTCTCCTCTATATTCATTTTGATTTGTTAATTTCTCTATAAAATACATACATAACAAGAGAAAATCACTACATGGCATTGAGAAACTAGAGCACCACAAAGGTGGTCTCTACTCTAAGGTTCTTGAGGATGATGCTGGAGACTGAACCCAGGACCTTGTGCATGCAGGAAAGCACTCTATCCTCTGAGCTGCATTCCCAGCCTACGATCCCTGGGGACCATAACAGGATCTCATATGTCAACACATCCCAAATTAGAAGAGAGTGGAGACTGGAAAAGCCAAACAAACTGAGGCTGGAGAGATGGCTCAGGGATTAAGAGCACTTGCTGCTTTTGTAGAGGACCTGGGTTTGCTTCCTAGAACCGTGGCTCACAACTGTCTATAGCTCCAGTTCCAGAGGATCTGATGCCCTCTTCTGACCTTTGTAAGCACCAGGCATACACACGGTGCACATAAATACATGCAGGCAAAATACTCATACACATAAAACAAAAAATTTTAAATCTTTAAAGAACTTTTTAAATAAACAAAACCCAAACTAATCGTAGGTATCTCCAGGTTATCCAAGCCTTTACTTATGTCGACAGCTAAAGCGGAAGAGTATAAGTGCACAGCTATCCTGGTTCAGTCACATGAGCTTCCTCATGATCCTCCCTTCTGCTGTGGCCACTGTCACTGGTAGAAATGAGGTTCTTCATTAAGTACTTGCCTACTTTTTAATACTGCACTTGATCTGAAGCACATAAAAAGCAAAGCACAATTAAACCCAAAGTCTTCATAAATCAGCTGAACTGGTTAACAAAAGAACAATGTAAAAATGTTTTTACCTCAGTATCATAGGCTGGATTGTAGTCATTAAAACCAGAATAAAGATCGTCTTCATCTGTTTCTGGTGCCAGGTGCACATTTTCCATCATTTGTACCTATTAAAAAATCAGCAACATAAAAATGTTCCTGGTATAAGAATTCATTTTTCTGATGCTAGAAACTGAACCCAGAGCCTCATGCATGCTAAGCATGCTGCAAGCCACATCCAGAACTACGAAATAATTCTTAGTTCAAACAAGTAACAGTGACATTCATTCATATTTTCCAAATTCCCCAAACTGTCAAAACACACCTCCACTACCCTCACTTCGTGTTTGCTCCACATCTTCTACATAAGTGGCAGGCAATGAGAGGGGAAGTTGATTACCCTGATTTTCACAGAGGTTAATATTAAGTACAGAAAAAATGCAATAATCAATTAAAATGTAAGGCAAAAACCATTATACCCCTGGCATTAGTGCTAATTATAAAGAGCAACAACTCACAAGGTCAGCAAGGACAGAGGGCAACCAGAATACCTAGCTATCATTAGTGAGAGCATAAAATGTTACAACTGCAAAAAATCTGCTGCTTCATACTATTAGCCTTTTATGACCTAGAATTCTACTCTAGAGTATTTTTGTAACAGAAATGAAAACATATGTGTACCAAAATATTAATGCAAGAACATTTATAGCAATGCTATTCCCAACAGCCCCAAATGGTCAGACCAGGTTCCCTACAACAGAACGGATGAGCATAACATGGCATACTTATGCAGGGAGTACTAGTCACAACTAGAAAATGCACAGCGACAAGTAACATGGAGTAGACACTGTGCAGAAAGAGGCCTTACAGAAAATAACACACTGGGCATTGTTTTACTTCTGTAAGTTCTAGAACAGACAAAACAAATCTGGAGGAGAAAATAGTCAGGACAATGGCTACTTCTTGGGGCTGGGTAGTGGAGAGTGAATAAAAAGAGGCATGAGAGAATTTTCTGGAATGACGATAAACGTTCTCTATTTTGACAAGGATTTGGGTCACACTGGCATACAACGTGAAAACTCAGCAAAGGGACTGGGAGTGTAACACCATGGTAGAGCATTTGCCTAGAAAATCCAGCAAACATGTTCTTAGTTCAGTTCTTTGCAAATTTTACATCAAAAGAAAAAAATCTATATAAATGTCCAAACGTAAGCCACATATGGTGTATTCAGGGGGAAATTTACTTTGAAAAGTACAAAAAGAATATATATAGATAGATAGATAGAGAGGTGGATATATAATAAGGAAGTATAGAAAATGATGGGAGGCACCAGGTAGCAAGCAGAGTCACTGTAAAAAAGCTGCACAGTTGGAAGTCTTCCTAATAAATGCTGAGAAAGATGGAAGGTAGGCAGAAAACCATGGCAATACAAAGTGGCCTTGAAGGAGAGCTGTGTGGTTACTGCGCTCGTACACTCTAACTGTACTAACTACATGAGCATCTGGGAAGGGCCCAAAATTCGGCTGAAATCAAGTCAGTATTTTAGGAAGACTGGGAGTGGTGTTGAGGAAGGTAGTCAAGAAATATAGCACTGAACTGCAATATCTAGCTAACTTGTGTCTTAGGTGTGCTAGTAAATGCCAAAGAAAATTCCATATACTCTCTATTGTGTGGCACACTACCAAGTTTATGTGGCTTCTTAGAACTTTTTGAATACTAAAATACTCTTTTGGGATTCATATACTATGAATCCCCCCACCCCATTTTAAACCGTATTTGCTTTCACTTTCTGCAGATTTCTCCTGTCTGTAAGTTTCTGTTTCATTGGTTTCTCCTGGGATCTTTCTCCAGTGGAGTTTCCTCTGCTAGCCGAGGAATAGCCTGTTTCTTTTTAGTGAAGATCACCTCAATGTGGCAGGGGAGCTTAGGCATGGGTTAACCCAACCATGAACTCCAAAAGTGCAGCAATGCACCTTGGGGGCTTACTTGTAGATGTTCAATAACCAGAGAATCTATATTTACATGCTTCAGTTCAGAGGCCAGAAAAATGGCTTAGCAGATAAAGGTGCTTGCTAGAGAAGCATGGAGACCTGAGTTCCATCCCCAGAACCCACATCAAGGTAAATAGGGAACAGACTTCATATAACTGTCCTCTGACCACCACAGGTGGACTTGGCATGTACTCATCCTTCACCCTCATCATGCACACATAATAATAAACAAACCAACCTTTGGTTCCTTATTATTTGCATTCTTTAACATATGAACCAAAACTTCAGCCCTCGTTTTGGGCCACTGACCTTGGGCCAAGCCCACTGTTTTGCCTAGGCACACCTACCAACTCCACCACTATATCCCCAGAGTGGTGCGAACTGTTTCTTTACACTGACATCTTTCAAATACTTGTGGCTTTTGTTTGATATGCCTACCTTTGATGACCTGGCCAGTTTCCCAAGTGTTTTTTGTTTTACTGTATTGTTTGTTGGGGGGGGGGGGGGGGGCGGCGCGGCGTTGGTGGGTTTCTGTTTGTTTTGTTTTGTTTTTTTGAGACAGAACCCTGGCTGGCCTAGAACTAATTATATATACCAGGCTGGCCTCAAACTCAAGATCTGCCTGGTTCTGCCTCTCAAGTGCTATGATTAAAGATGTGTCACCACGCCCAATAGAACACTCAAATGTGAACTTCTTGGTTTGCATGGTTGTGTAGCATTTTTTGGAGCAATGTAATAGTGAACCATGTTCACTCTTTACTTCAGCTCTCTTAAAAGATCAGGACTCTCCCTTTTAGACTACCACGAAGGGCATGGTGGCAGTCTAAGGAAGTAGATGCTGAAGGCTCACAAATTCAAGGTCAGCCTCAGCTACACAGCAAGTTAGAGGCCAGCTTAGATCTCAATAAATAAAGTATACTACTCATTGGGTTTCAGTATATTTGAAAGATGTACAACCATCACTGCTATCCAATTCCAGAACATTTTCTTTATTGCATAAAAACAAAAACCTGAGGCTCTTAGGCAATTATTTCCCATCCTTCCTTTTCCCCCAGGTCCTGAAAGTCACTAAACAACTTCCTATCCTTATAGATGAGCCAATTCCAGACATTTCATATGCATGAAACCACAGCATGTAGCATTTATGTCTAGCTCCTTTCATTTAGCATGTTTTCAGGGTTCATGATGCAGTTTCATTCTTTTTCATGGCTCAGTAATAATTACAACATTTGGCTTCTCTAGTCATTAGTAAAAGAACATTGGGTTAGCTCTGCTTTGGAGCTTTTATGAATAACCCTGTTATGAATGTTTATATACAAATTTTACATGAATATGCCTTCTTTTTTAAATGTATGTGTCTGTGTTGGGAGTTGGCCAACATGGGTGCTGGAAACTGAATTCAAGTCCTCTGGAAAAGCAACAAGTGCGTATAACTACTGAGCTATCTCTCTAGCAGTGTATGCTCAATTCTACTGGGCATATACTAAGGTATGGGATTGCTGGGCCATACAGGAAGCTTCTGGAATAGCTGCCCATTTTCTGAGCAGAGTAATAAAATATTACACCACCCTAATCACTGCCACTTGGGATTTAATCATTCCCTTTCCATTGTATACACACTGTATAGGCTACCTGCTCATTAGTCACATAGCAGCTATCTCAGTTACCAGGTTAATTGTTCTGGTATTGCAGTCCTTGTTATTTTCCTTACCATTGGTCCCAAAGCACAAGATCAGAGGTGTTGGCAATTCAAACATGCCAAAGAGAAGTTGGAAAGTATTTTCTATTTAAGTACCAACTCACTTTATTAAAGAAAGTGAATATAGAACAGCAAAAAACAAAAAGAGAGAGAAAAACAGAACATATTATTGCTGTTAATCTCTTACAGTGCCTAATTTTTTTTTTCTGGGCTTTGATCAGAAGGACTTGGGCTCCCCATGAGCAGCGCCGGGGAGTGGGTCTTCAGTACACCACATTTCCCACGACGCGCCACGCAGCGGGGATTCGGTGCTGGGCTCTTTACAGTGCCTAATTTATAATTTAAATTTTATCACAGGTATATATGTATATGAAAAAACAAAAACAGCAAGGCCAGGCATGGTGGCACACAACTTTGATCCCAGCATTCAGAAGGCAAAGGCAGTGGATCTCTGTGAGTTCAAGGCCAGCCTGGTCTATAAAGCAAGTTCCAGGACAGCCAGGGCTACACAGACAAACCTTATCCTGACCCTTCACCCCCCCAAAACTGTATGAAGGGTTCAGTGTGATATGAGGGTCTTTGATTGTATGCCCTACAGATAAGATGGAACACTATGCTAAACCAGTGGCTCTCAAACCTGAGCATGCATCATAAGCTTAAAGGTTTGTTCATTTCAGACAGCTGCTCCCCAGCCATCTATGCTTCTGATTCAGGAAATCTTCAGTGAAGGAGATACTTTGATCTCTCAGAACGTAAATTTATAGGAATTTCTTTGGAGGGGGTATGTTTTTGTCTCCGAGACAGGGTCTTATGTAGCCTAGGCTGGCCTTGAACTCATTACATAGCCAAACTAGCCTTGAACTCTGCTTCTACCTCCCAAGATCTGGGGTGGGAGATATGAGTCATTCTGCCCAGCCAGAATGTGAATTTCTTTGTGTGGGTATGGTTGCTCCTGCATGTGTGTAGACACATTGTATGCATATGTATGTGGAGGCGAGAGGTCACACTGGGGTGTCATTCTGTTTAGGCACTGCCTACCTTGTTTTTGAGACAAGATCTCTCACTGGGACCTGGAACTCAGATTCAGCCAAGCTAGCCGACCAGTGAGCAGCACAAATCCCTTGACTTCACTTCTGCGAAGTTGAGAGTACAAGTGTGTACCAGCCACTACACTCTATTTTTTAAGGGCATGCTGGGGATCAAGGTTCTCAGGCTTTTGCAGCAAGCACTTTACCCACTGAGCCATCTCCCCAACCCTAGATTCCAAACAAGTTCCCAAGCGTGGTTCCAGGGACCACACTTTCAGAATCACATGCTGAAGAACTTCCTGATTACAAACCTTTCTGATGTCAATTTAATTTATCCATAAGGTATTAAAACAATGAGCTTTTAAAACTAGACCTCCTTCCTTCCGGGTTACAACCAGATTTAAACACACACACACACACACACACACACACACACACACACACACACACACCCCTGGGAAACATCATAGATAGCTGAGCAGACCAATAGTGGAATACACTAATTTTAAAGATGTGGAAAGCAAGGATAGCGAAGATTAAGTGATTAACTATCCTTACTAACAGCCACAAGTGGCTAACAAATAGTACAACCCAGGGCTTCTGGATTCTCAAAGGTGTTTCGAAAATAATTTGGGATACTGTCAGCTCAATATTGCCCCCAAAAACCATTTTGCATGGGAAAGTTCTATATACTTCTACTATGATACAGTTCACACTCAAAATGTCAGTGGTAGTTTCTCCAAAGCTCATAACCAGAATAAAGAATAAAAAAGTCTATAAAAAGCAAAAGTAGTGCCAGGTGGTGGTGGCGCACGCCTTTAATTCCAGCACTTGGGAGGCAGAGGCAGGGGGATCTCTGTGAGTTTGAGGCCAGCCTGGTCTACAGAAGGAGTTCCAGGATAGCCCCAGAGAAAACCTGTCTTGAAAGAAAAAGAAAGAAGAAAGAAGGGAAAGAAAAAAAAGAAAGGAGAAAGACAGAGAGAGGGAGAGAGAGAAAGTAAGAAAAAAGGGAGGGGGGAGGGAGGGAGGGAGGGAAGAAAAAAAGAGAGAGAAAGAGAGAAAGAAAGAAAGGAAAGAAAGAAAGGAAAGAAAGAAAGAAAGAAAGAAGAGAAAGAAAGAAAGAAAGAAAGAAAGAAAGAAAGAAAGAAAGAAAGAAAGAAAGAAAGAAAGAAAGAAAGAAAGAAAAGGAAAAAGTGGAATTTTAGGCTTAGAAAGACTCTTGGGGAAAACAGTAGTCAGCCATTCTTATCTGTGCATCCTTGGATTCAACAACTGTAAACTGAAAATATTTGGGAAAAATATTATATTTACGGAACATACATTTTTTTTCCTTTTCCCTGAAAAATTAAGCATAACGATTATTTATGTAGCAATGAATAGTCTACGATGACTAAATGGGAAAATGGCTTAGCTACAATGCAAATATCATACCACCTTGTATATGTGAATGAGCATCTGGGAAGTTTGGTATCCCGGGAAAGTGGGTGTCCTAGAACCGAACCCTAGGGGATATGTTTTTATCTTTATGAGACTGTGCTTTATGCATTCTTTTCTGTACTTCTTCACTCCTGATTAGTAGGCAATTTCAAAGGTTGACTTGACGAAAGTATTAGAAATACTCGCTGTTACCCACGGTGAAACTCTGAAAGTTTCAGTTAGTGCCATGGCATCGCCAAGCCGTGTCACTTTGGCCCGAGTCGCCATGCGAGCTGGAGCAGGGATATCCACTCGCTGAGGGGGAGCATTAACAAAGCGTTAGCTACGGAAGCGCATTCGCCAGAGCCGGGCTTTGGGCGCCACCAGCCCGCCTGCCCTTGCGACCCCGCTGGCCGCTCACGCACCGGGCTGGTAACAGGGCAGCAGGGCGGGCGGCCACGAGGGCCCGGGCCCTTCTCCTACCTCGTGCCGAGGGGAGCGGGCTGACCACGAGTGGGCCGGAGGAAGACGCGACGCCTGAGGCTCCGCAGGCCAGAGCTGGACGCCCAGCCGTTGCCAGGCGCGAATCCAAGGAAGCCTTTCCCACAGTCCCCCGCGCCGCCGGGGCGAGGCCGGAAGCTCGGAACCGGAAGTGCAGGGCTGCAGGGAACTGCGGACCGCAGAGTCGGCCGAGCTATTGCGGGGTGTTACCGGCTCTTACTGCTGTCCGGGAGTTGCCGCTTGCGCCAGGGATAATCACAGAAGGAATTAGCAAGGTCGTGTGAACCCCGAAGCAACAGTCCCGAGAGCAGGCGACCGGAGCGTGATGGCCGAGTGAATGAAACGTGTCCCGGAGCCATCACACAGGGCTTGGGAACCTTGGAAAGCTGTTTTCCGTGGGACATTGCGTAGAAATTGTATTCATCACACGATAAATGGTCAGATGATCCTGTCGGGATCCTTTCTAAATAAATTTAATCCGAAAAATTAAAAAGTAAAGGGAATGTAATGCTAGGTGTGATGACGCACGCCTGTGATCCCATCACTTGGGAGGTCGACTGGACGATCGGGAATACAAGGCCACCTGGGCCACGAAAGACCCTGTCTTAATAGCAAAATAATGCTTCCCTCCGGAACAAAAGCTGGGCATGTTGACTTGAAGTCTATTATAAAACACTGAGGTTTACTAACCTTGAATTGCTCAGTTGTATCAGAAAGGCATTGCATATGTAGCATCCATCTTACCTACCACGGAACATATGGAAGTGGGTGTAGGGGCAAACTATTAGGTTGATCAGGCTCGTGCTACTTTGAAGGTTAAAGCACTTTGTCTCTGATACGGGTGTTTTGTACCAGCATTCAGAAGGTAATAGTGTTAAGCTAATGTATTAGCTTGCAAGTGGGATAAATTCTACAATTATTGACAGTATCTGGCTACCGTGCATCACTCAGAGCACAATCAATAAATACTTGTTGAGTTAGTGAACACTATAGAGCCTTTCTTTCAAAGGCTTCGATACAGAAAGATAAAAAAAAAATTAGACTCACTGAACCTTTTTGTTTGTTTTGTTTTTTTCAAGACAGGGTTTCTCTGTGTAACCCTGGCTGTCCTGGAACTTGCTCTGTAGACTAGGCTGGCCTCGAACTCACAGAGATCTGCCTGCCTCTGCCTCCTGAGTGCTGGGATTAAAGGCCTGCCCTCCCTACCCCCAGCACTGAATTTTTTTTAATGATTGCACATCAGGGTGCCCAGGCCTTGTCTGAGAAGAAGACATTATTATGTTTTGTTAAAATAAAAGTTCCTCAGGCAACAGATATTTTTGACTTGTTCACTCACTAATTATTGAATGAATTGTCAAGGTTTGTCGTTAGTTACATATAGAGTGGGATGAGTGAGAAGCAAACAAGCGTGAGTCCCATGACTCGAGTAACTGAGTAAAAGTTCCATATGTGAATATGGAGAACACTAGAGGAGAAGCAGGTTTGAGAGGGAAATGAGTTTAGTCTAGGTGCCTGTAGAATACCCAAGAAAAGATGTTGAGTAAGCAGTTGTGTATAAAGATATAAAACTCAGAGAAGAGGGCCCGGCATGTAGCTCAGTGTTAGAACATTTGCTTGGCATGTACAAAGCCCTGATTTGGATTCCCAATCACAATAAACAAGCTCAGAAAAGAGACTCCCATCTAGAGATACATACTTGGGATTCAGTAATTCCTGAAAAGGATGGTTTGGAAGCCTGTGAGTGAGATTTTTTTTAGGATAAGGTCATGTAGAAAGTCAAAAAAGAAAGGACGAGAAGGTAATGAGGGTGGGTAAACAGGATCAAAACATTATATGAATGTATGGAAATGTTATAACATTTCTTAAAAAATCCTAGAACTGAGCCTTGATATTTAGATTTTATAGAAGAGGAGCCCTTAATGACTCTTCAGTGGTCAGACATGGAGGCAAAAATCAGACAGAGAAAGCATTGGAAGACCAGGAAGCCAGTGTGTTAAACAGGAGGGAATTGTACATATTGGAAGGAATGTGGTTGAGAGATTAAGTTTAAGCAAAGGATGTTTTACTATATTTAAGTAACTTGAATGTCACCTTTGATTTATCAGGAACTCTTGATGGATAGTGGAATAGAAGCCTGATTCTATAGGGTTAGCTGGTTATTGGGGATTGTATTAGTCTATTTCATGTTACTACAATGAAATCCCTGAGGTGAATTAACTTTGTTTGGAAAACAAATTTATTTTGCACATGCTTTTGGAGGATGAGTCAGGCTCTGACAAGGGTCCCATAACAAATAGCAGTGTGTGTCTGAGAAGTGATCACAACACCAGGTAGGAAGCCACTGCTGGCTGCGGCCTGACTTAGCCCTGTTTTGTTCTGTTCTTGCTGTTTTGATTTTGTTTTTGGTGAGTATCTTAGTTAGGGTTACATTACTATTGCTATGATGAAACACCATGGCTAAAGGCAACTTAGGGAGGCAAGGGTTTATTTGGATTACATTTCTACAGCATTCATCATCAAAGGAAGTTGGGGCAGGAACTCAGACAGGTCAGGGACCTGGAGGCAGAAGCTGATGCAAAGGCTATGGAGGGATGCTGCTTACTGGCTTGCTCCTCTTGGCTTGTCATAATAAAACCCATTATTGGGGCCAGAGAGAGGGCTCAGTGATTAAGAGCACTTGTTGCTCTTGCAGGATCCAGATTCAGTTCCCAGAACCCATATAGTTATCATGCACATAAAAATAAATCCTGCCGGGCGGTGGTGGCGCACGCCTTTAATCCCAGCACTCGGGAGGCAGAGCCAGGCGGATCTCTGTGAGTTCGAGGCCAGCCTGGTCTCCAAAGCGAGTTCCAGGAAAGGCGCAAAGCTACACAGAGAAACCCTGTCTCGAAAAAAACCAAAAAAAAAATTAAATAAATAAATAAATAAATAAATAAATAAATCTTAATGAATTTCATTATTATGTATAAAAAATTTATTCTAATAAAAATTGCAAAAGAAAGTTTAAATAATACCAGACAGACAAAACAAAATAAAAACTAAAGATTGAAAAAGCAGAAGGTGGTAACCTAAGTTTTCAGTAGAGAGAGGTACAAAACAAAGGAAAGCAGTGGCTCGCTGTGAGAATCATGAATGGAGGCCACTGTAGAGACATGAATGGAGCCCACTGTAGAGACATGAATGGAGGCCACTGTAGAGACATGAATGGAACCCACTGTAGAGACATGAATGGAGCCCACTGTAGAGACATGAATGGAGCCCACTGTAGAGACATGAATGGAGGCCATTGTAGAGACATGAATGGAGCCCACTGTAGAGACATGGATGGAGGCCACTGTAGAGACATGAATGGAGCCCACTGTAGAGACATGAATGGAGGCCACTGTAGAGACATGAATGGAGGCCACTGTAGAGACATGAATGGAGGCCACTGTAGAGACATGAATGGCCACTGTGGTGTCAGAGACATGGGAGCATCTGCTTTGCATCATTTGGCTGAGCTGTGAACATCTGTGCCTTCCAGTTTCATCACTGTGAAGTTGAGAAAGAAAGAAATTGACACTAGAATGCATGTCACTTTTATGTAGTATAATAAAGTTTTTTTAATGTGTTTTTTGGTGGATTTTTTTGAAGAAAATATTTGCTTATTTTGGTCTTGGGATGGAGTGCCCAACCTGGCATGAGGTTAGGCACAGGCTCTATCATTGATTTACACTCTCAGCCCAAGAATGTCTTTAAACCATCACAGACCATAGCCTGGGTTACTTAGAGACCCCAAATCCCCATCTTAAGCATAAGCTTAGCAAGGTTCTAAGATGAGCTTTTTTAATCTATACATCAGAAAGAAATTAGCAGCTAATGAGATTTTTAAAAATTCAATTTAGTTGAGAAAAGGAAATTTTTATGCAGAGAGAGATTGAGAGTTTACAAAGGGGTCCTATGTAACTCAGGCTGGCCTCAAGCTCATGATCCTCCTGCCTCAGCCTCCCAGGGTATGTGCCACCACCACCAACTGAGGAAGGTTTTTTTTTTTTCGGTTTTTTTTTTTTTTTTTTTTTTTTTTTTTCCGAGACAGGGTTTCTCTGTGTAGCTTTGCGCCTTTCCTGGGACTCGCTTGGTAGCCCAGGCTGGCCTCGAACTCACAGAGATCCACCTGGCTCTGCCTCCCGAGTGCTGGGATTAAAGGCGTGCGCCACCACCGCCCGGCCGAGGAAGGTTTTTAACAAAGACTTCTCAAAACTGTGTTAGGCTTGGAGGGGGGCTGGGCCTGGACCCAGAGAGGTAAGTATGTTGGAAAGCGTGTTTAAGTCAGGGTTTCTGGTTCTGCCATCAGCATTACTATTTCAGCACTGTGCATCTTTGGCCCAGTCCTTTCTTGTTCCAGAATCATCTTTTCACCTGTGAAAGGGAGGGGTCAGACTTGACCTGACACCCTGTTGGCTTTTGGGTCTTTGATCTCATCTGTCTCTTATTTACCTGTCAGGAAAGCAGTTTGACCCTGGCACTTCACTGCCTCATTGTTTACAAGGAAAGGAAGTTCTGTAGTTGTCAAAGGGAGCTTAGGTCAGGTTCAACACCAAGATTCCTCTAAACACATTTCTCACTGTAAGAACCAGGAGAATGTTCTAGGCTTAAGGTGACCACTCTGTATTCAGTGTAAAGGAGATTGCTGATTAAAACTGAGGGGAATGTTGCAAACAAGGGGAAAAAGACATACGGAAAAGTATTAAATGTTCAAGTTGCTTTTATAGATGGAAAATGGTTAAAAGGGAGTCTGGTGCCCTTTAATTGCTGCCTATGAGACCCTGAGTGTGCTTGGAGCGAAGTGAAGCCTGATGAAGAGCCCACACTTGTAGTGGATTGCTGTTCTAGTTATGACCTTGAAGCACCGCCCCTAGTGAGGCAGCAGGTAACTGCTGCACCTGCCTATGACCTTAAAGCACATGCCTCTGGGGCATGGCTGCTTGGGACCCTTAAGACCTGGGATGCACTTATGCAGCACTCTCTTCTCTCCCTCATGGTTTGGATGCTGGGACTGACCAGACAGATCTTGGAAGAAGATCAGTGTGGGACATAGCTTGGCTTTCCCAGACCCTACGATAAATATCTATGCT